TTAACAAAATGGGCCCCCCCCCCCCCCCCCCCCACTCTCGCCAATCAATGTGTGTGTGCTTTCGTCCGATCTGAGCCCGCCAGAGTCTAAATACCGTACATATTTGGGGCACCAGCCGGGGTCACAAAGGAGAAAGACAAACATAGGAGCAATTTTCCGCCAACGCAAACAGAAACGACGACAGCTGTAAACAGTCTGATTCGTTTACAGTAGTTCCAAACAATAAAAATGATCCAGGAACGGGGTATCTACCGCCGGTGTACGTTTACAACCAGAGCACAAATAAAACAAACAACAAAATGAAACGCACAGATAGGTACTATCTCATGTCTGCGCGCTTGCTCTATGCCAGTGAAAAACTCGAACGTTCAGTGCACGCACCCACAACGCGGCCATAAAATATGTTCGTGAAATAAGTTAACGGACCTGCTTAATACGCGGCAGATCGTTCTTGACGCCTTCCTCGAAAAGTGGAAACGCCACGTATTTACGTATTGACTTTTTATTTGATGGTATAAATGACCCCCAGGCACAACAAACACAGCTTGTTCGTCAACACCTCCAAAATACAAATACCATCCCGTTCCACCGCATACAAATATCTACCACTGTGTTCATGATGCCCCTCCGCAATGCCCTTTCGACCGTAACAAGAGCAACGATGATACTCAACACGTGCTAAAAGAATAGACAACAACAGTAACTTTTTGAAAGGAACAAGAGCAACACCACCAGCATGCTACAAGTCGTCTCAGCGAAGAAAAAACGCCAGTAACACATGACGCCCGGCTTGCGAACATCCACCCAGCACGCGGCGCAACACCACCTAGGACGAACATGCACTCGTGTGCATTTCGGTCCAAAGGTAGAGACGGCAGCCGGAGACTGCTGTCGTAAAACTCTAATCATGGCGCAGCCTCGTGCCCATCCACGAAAAGGCACGCCTCGGTCCACCGCAACTTCTCAGCTATTGCTTCCGTTGTCGCTCCTGCTGTCAAACCGCCCCCGCCCCCCGCCCCACCCCCTTCCCCCACCCCAACCCCTCCCTCGCCCACCAAACCCGCCCCCTTCCCCCCGGCCGGGAAAGTCCCCCCTGCTACGATGGTCCGAGTTCTGAAATCTGCCGTTGCTGTTGTTGCTTGCATGTCCACTATTGCCGTACCGTTCTTCCTCCTTGCCGCCATTGCTGTGGTGGTGGTATTCGCCCCTTCCTTTCCAAGGCCTTCGCCCTCCTGCCCCTCCCCGTCCCATCCCCGAAGACTCCCAGCCAGGACGAGGTTTCCCGGACCGTTGGTAGGCGTCGTCGCCCCCACCGCCGCTTGGAGAACATGCATCGGGGCCGCTGTTGCCCTGCCTCTTGTAGCCTTGCTGCCGGCCGTTCGGCGAAGCGCTGCTGCGGCGCGCGGACCGCGAAGCCGCCGGGGGCGAAAGGCTGCGGGCCGACGACCTGCTGTAGTTGCCGCGGTCGTTGACGCCGTCGCCGCGCGACGCCTGAAAATCTTTGGCAACGCCACCACCGCCGCCACCTTGTCGAAATCCCCTGCCCCCCCCTCTCTCGGACATCCCGCGAGGATGGAAAGAAGACTGAGAGCCGCCGCCGTTCCCGCCGCCCCTTCCACCGCCGTTCGGGCGAGCCATGGATCGATTTTGTTGCTGCTGCTGTTGCTGATGCTGCTGCTGGTTGTCCTGGCCAAATTCTTGCGACCTCGCCGAGCGGTCTGGCCTGGACACGGATGCACTTGTCGTCGTCGTTGCTGCCGACGAAGAGGACGGGGACGAGGAGGACCCCGCTGCAAAGGCCGCGTACCCGGTGCCGCCGCCGGAGGCCGGGGGCCCCGCAGAAGAAGAAGCATGCGGCGGCGCCCCCGGTTTTGGGAGGGCGAACCCAGAATAGTCCTTCTCTTTTCGAGACCCCGCACCGCGGCCACCACCACCCGTCCCCCCGTTAGCGGCAGCTGTTTGCCCGTAACGAAAATCTGTCGGCCCCTTCGTGCGTCGGTCCGCTCCTATTCCGCCAAGACCCGCGCTCGATCCCCTCGCCTGCGAGTCGTACCTGCTTCCCGGCGCGTGGACGCTACCACCCGCCTCACGCCCCTTCTCCCCTGCTCGGCCGCCAGCAACCCTCGGCTCTTCCGACCTACCCGCCTGTCTCGACCCGGCCGCGGGGTCCCCGCCATTGCCGTCGTTCCTGCCTGCGCTGCCCCCCCCGGCTCGCTCCGGCCACCCGTTATCGCGCCCTCCGCTCTGCTGCGCGGCGACAGAAGGTTCACGCGCACGGTCTCCTTCACCGTGGTGGCCTCGCTGCGCGAAATCGCTGCCACCACGCCCCCCCGCCAGTCGAGCCTTCCAATGCCCCCGGACGGCGCCCCGACCCCGCGCCCCGACCCCGCCGCCGCCGCCGCCGCCGCCCTGTCGGTGGTGATTGTGGTGCCCCCCCCTACCGCCCGCGGCGTCTTGCCACGCTGCCCCTTCCGAGCCGCCCCTGCTAGACGACGGCCCGTCCCTAGCGCCGCCGTGCTCGGGCGCCCTTGTGCTGCTGCCCCCAGAATCCCTCCGATCACTTCGCTCTCCCCCTTGACCTCCCCATGCGCCAGCCGTCTGCTCGCCGCCGCCGCCGCCGCCGCCGCGAGCCCTTCCGACGGACGCCTCCGTACCGCAGACCCGCGCGTCGCTGCCGCGGCCTTCCCTTGACCCACCCTCGCCGGGGGCGCGGGAATCCCGGGAAGGCTCTCTGTTGTCTGGCCGGCCTCCGCCGCTGCCGCCTCCGCCCGAGTTCGGCCGCACGTCGTCCCAGCGGGCAGGCCGACCTCGGCTCTCCGCTCGAAAAGCACCCCCTGTTCGCGGGCTTGGAGCATGCTGTGTTTTGATTGGCGGGTCCGAGAGATCGCGCGAGGGGCGAATATAGGGGGCGGAGGGAGAAAGGCGCGGCGATGAGATTGGTGGCGTCACGGAGTTGCTGTCGTGTACACTCTGTCGTGCTCCGTTCGTTGCAATAACGGCGTTCTTCCACCCCGTCCATATCATCCGTGATCAAGGCTAAGAAGTCTGAGGTCATGACGCAACGATCGTAGGCTGTTTGATGATTGCGCAGCCCACGTCCAAACATGGCTTGATGGCACCCCGTGCACACGACACAGCAGCAGCGCATTCCGCGTCCAAAAAAACAGCGTCTTCGCCCACACGGCACGCACGTACGCGTGCATCCCATTCGCAAGGTACGGAGCCCCTCCCAAGTTGTTTACACAAGCTAACCAACCGGACCGCGTTGCATCACCTTCTTCGGGGAGCCGTGAGACCAGTCCTGGCCCTCAAACCTCTCCAGAGAACGCTTCCGATCAGACCACGCGCCGCCGTACGACCCGCCCTCTCCACGGCCACCACCACCGGCGACGGCGGCCGCGGAATCTCCAACCCTCCCGTTGCTGCTGCCGTAGTGTTGACCGCCCGCCCTCCCGGCGGCGGAAAACCCTCTCTCCCTGTCGCCGCCGCCATCGGCCGCACGCGAGCGGCTGCCACCCCTAAGCGCGTTGCCCCCCCACGGCGGCCGGCCTCTCCCGTCCCGCTCGTCGTCGACAGACCTGGAGCACGAGCCAGGCTGCGGCACGCCGTTAGCGTACTCTCCTTCTCGGCTGCGGGGCCTCCGTTGACGCTCACGGCTCTCGTCTGTGAAGCCCCCCCTGCCTGCTGATTCCCTCAGCTGTGTTCTCCCGTCCGGTTCTCGTTTGCCCTCGGACGGACGGTCGGGTCGCCAACTGCTCCGGCCGCCGCCGCCGCCGTCCCAGCAGTGCGGTGGCGGCGGCGGTGGCGGCGGCGCCAAGGCCGAAGCCTTGTTGTTGTAGCCTCTCCCACCGGAACTGCTATTGTCGCGCCGCTCCCCTCCTCCGTCATCGCGGCGCTGTTGTGTGGCGTCTCCCTGGCCACTTGAGTAAGAATCGCCGCGGTACTGCGGCTGTCTGCCTTGTCTACGGCCGCCCTCTTCTTCGAAACCAGCGGGGCTGAAACCGTGATGCCGCGGTGCGTCCATCCTTCCTGATTCCCCCCCGCCCGTCCACTTGTCGGTGGGGTTGTTCATGCCCTTGGCGAACCTCCCATTTCTCTCTCCGGACGACCCCGCTCCCCAACCGCTGCGGGAAGCTTCCCTCCCATGTACCCCGTTGGCATTGGCATCCCCATTCCTTCCCGCGTCATAACCACCGCCGCCAAGTTCCGCTCTGCGACGCCGCTCGCCGTCCAAAGCAGCGCGATCGCCACCCCCAACACCACTGCCCTCGGCGGTGCCATCATCCGCGTGTCGCCCACGGTTGTTTTCGCTCCGACCACCCACGTTGTCGTTCATCCCGCCCGTGCCATTCCGCCTGCCGTACCCTGCGCCGTCCGCCAGCACCCTGCCGTTCAATTCGCCCTCGGCGGCGATCCTGTCCCTTTCGTCACTGCCTCTTGCCTCGCGTCCGCCGTAAGGCCCAGCATTCCGGCCCGAATCCCCCGCATACGCACCGGCAAAGCCCGACCGCCGCCACTTGGCGCCGCTTGCCCCTCGCTCGCCGGATTGCCCCGCGTACCTGTCAGCAGAACCAGCGTCATCCGAACCACGGCTGTAGCTATTTCCTCCTCCTCCCGTGCTAGGACTGGACGCCGGGGGGGAAGGGGAAGGCGCCGGGTCGGAAGACGTAGTAGTAGTAGCTTGCTGCGCTGCCAGCAGGCGGTGCTTGAGCAGCTTCTTGGGCGAGAAGGCGGGGTTGGAGTTAGCCTCGTCATGCTGGACACGCTGGTGGAGCAACTTCTTGAGGCCGAGGGCCTTGGGCGGCGGGGGTGGAGCGGCCGCCGGCGCAGCCGCTGCCGCCGCCACCGCAGCCGCGATCGCCGCCTCGTTTGCGGCCACAGACGCCGCAGCCACGGCAAGAGACATCATCGCCTTCGTCGGGCTCTTGTCATTGTTCCGGCTCCCGCTCAAGTCCGGGTAGCGTAGCGTCGCCGCCGACATCTCGTCCGTAGAAGCCGTCAGCCCGAGCCCCACCCGCGGCGAGATTTCCGCCTTCTGGGGAGCCTTCACCATCCGGTTCCTGTTCGCCGAGTTGGCGCTCGATGCAAGGACCGCCGCTGCCGTCGTCAGTTCGTCCTTCTCTTCCTCCCGCTTTACTATCCTCGGCGACAACTTCGCTTCACCCTCTTCGCCGGCCGCCGCCGCCGCCGCCTTGTTGCGTTTTTTCCCCGGCTTCTTGAGCTTCGGGATGGTGAAGTTGCCGCCGGCATCAGCGCCGGCTCTGGGCGATGACGACCCCGCCACCGCGGCGGTGCTCGTCCGCTGCCGCTTCCGCCCGTCCTTGCGCTCCCTTTTCGGCTTCAGCTGCGGCGCAGACATCTCGGCGACCTCGATGCTCGCGGAGCAAGCGGGGCACGCCCACTGGACATCGTCCTGCAGCAGCGGCAGAAACAAAAACATGCGAAAAAAAAACGGGGTGGTGTGGACAAGTGAGCACGTGGGAACAATGTCCTGGAAGGAGTTTCATCAATTGACCATAAATTGATGCGAAGAGGTTTGTGGGGATGCAGCAATCGTTGAGATCCAATGAGGTCAGCCCGGCTGCGACATATAGCTGGCCCACGAGGATGACCGCGCAGAGAGAAAAAAACCAGACGATGTCAGCAACAACGTCACAGCAGTATCTGACGCCAACGCATATTCGGTTTATACCAAGACAGCGAGGGCAATCAACGGGTTCCGCCCCAAACAATGCTACGCGTTGAACACAACGCGCCGTCGTGCTAACATATGAAGCGAGAAAATACAACAACAAAAAACGCACTCACCGAGGGCAGGGATAGCATGGGAGGGTCCAGACAGGTCAGGTGGTACGTGGAGGTGCAAAAGTCGCAGCAAAGGAGGTCCCCTTCCTCCTTGCACACCGCGCAGACGTCTTCGTGAGGCGAGTTCGCGGCCAGCGCCTTAAGCCCTGGGAAGCCGATGGCGGAGCACATTCCCTGCCCTGAAACATTTGTCGTCGACAAGCAGGAAAATTACAACAAACCCGAGATCGTGTTAGGGGGACACGTGCCACAAAAATCGATCAAACGCAACAGTCATAAAGCAAGACGAGTCGGAGTGGCGTTGTAGCGCAATACCTACGCGCAGACAACGTTCAAACGCAAAGAACGTGTGAGACAAGAGAGACCGCCTGGAGTTCAAGGGAGGATGAACACGATTGAAATCGAGGTCAATTACAAAAAAAATGCGTCAAGGTCGAGCGCCACGGCAAGGCACCCGCACACTGACCGTGCTTCGGAACGGTGCCATGGAGTGCCGCGTTAAGGTTCCTGGTGGCGATGTCTAGGTCCTTCTGGTGCCGCTCCTTGTCCGCCTTTGCCATGTCCTCGTACGGGATCCGCTCGCCGAAGGTCATGTCCCGCCATTCGCCGGCCGCCTGGGCGAAACGGTCCCGGTGCTGCTCCACGACACCTTCCTCCTTAAGCTGATGGGCGAAACGTATCGGTACAAAGCGGTTTAGGACTGACGTGCAATGTACATGTTGTACGGTTGTCGTACCAACAAGCATCACCGTTGGTGGAGTTTGGAAGGAAGGGCGATGCGACCACCACAAACAATTTGGCGTTCTCTGATTCGCATGATATCTGTGCACAGCATGCAAGCACCTTTCAACCGTGGATGTTGTATTTACGTGCGGAGAAGATATCGCGTAACCCTGCGCGCCTCCGTGTACAACACAAACACTGTACCGGGACGAAACTGGGCACCGAATCCCACCTTCGAGAGCGACGCGCGACCAAAGAGCAGCGAAAAACAGACACAACCTACCAAGGTAGCGTCGACGCCATACCGGCGTCTGCGCGCCTGAAAGCAACAAGCACCACAACTCCACACAGCAGTGGTCGGGAGGCATATGACAAAACACCGCTACTAACGGCAGGCGCAGCGACGGCATCAACACACCGCCCTCTCCACCAAACGACGACGACAACAACAATCAACGGCGACTACATACCTGGGCTATCCGCTTGAGCAGGTAAAAGTTGTAAGCGCTCCGAGCCTTCTTCGGTTTAGCTGGGTCGTGCTTGTCCGCATCTCCCTTCGCCCCCGCCCCGACCTTGGCCCCTTTGCCGCCCTTTCCCCCCCGGCTACCTGGCCCGGTCTTTGGCCCCTTCGCCCGGCTCATTCCTGCTGTTCCCGCCTGAACTACAGCGGCCGTCTCGTTGCCCTTCGACTTTGGCGATGCCGGCGTCTTCTTCTGATTCTTTTCCTGGGGCGGACAGGTCGCAGATAGTAAATAAATACTTATGGTAGATAGGATGGGTGGTGCTCGTGGACTCATGGACGGAGACGTGACCTTGTGATGTTGCTGTACTTCGAGGCACGTTTTGGGCAAGTGGGGTACTACGGCGATTTCTTCGTTGTAATAGTTTGCCTCTTTCTTCCGATGTCTATGCATATGAGCCGCGGATGTATGTGCTCGGCAATATATCTCAAAATTAATAAAACAGTGAAATGACGATACAAGCAACACCCCTTTTGCCGAATACTTTCCGAATTGTTGCCAAGGCGGGGGGCGCTATTGAAGGCGGATTGTTTTCGATCAAGGTTATCTTGCACAACCCACAGCTCGATGTCGTCGTCATACACACATTGTCTCAGACAAGGCCATGCGAAGGGCAAAGCGAAAGTTATGGCATGCGTTGATGCATAGAAGTAAAATCCATATGTGACAATTTTCAACAGAAACCCGTCAAAACTGGTACAAATACTAGGAAAAAAAAATACAAAACTGTTGTGTCATATCAAGCAAAAAAAAAAAAAATGGTATGTACGCGTATCATATGCATACGTTCCCACGCTGTTTCCTTAAGTGGTATTTGGTAGTGAGAGGAAAAAAAAACATATGTGGTCGAGAACGGAACTTTGATGTACTCGTGACGCTGCGCCGTCGACGCTTGTCCCATCTCCAAATAACGTGCGTCGCTCCCATCACCGCTCGAATCGGGGGCAGATATTGTAGAGGGGTTACAGCTGTATTTGACCTCTTAACCTCGTCGTCGCTGCTTGGGGTAACTGCTACCTGTTGGAGAGGAGTTGTGTGCACTGCTGGATTCTACATCATGCGGGTGCATCCATGCCTTTCCTCGAGACTGAGGCTGTCCTAGACGGTATGCTTACGCTACCCTGCGACGGGCTAGGCAGAGCTGGTGCGTGCTCGTGTCATGGGTCGGGCTTTACGAATGGCGCCAACAAACCCGGTACATACGTAACAGCAGAACATGAATACCATCCGTCAGGTTTCATTTTTCGTGGTCCTACTTGTATGTCCCGGCTCTATGTCTGCAGCCACACAGCAGGAGTCGTCAGGACAACGAATGGGGGATACTCCCCTCTCTGCGGCTCTACCTATAACACGAGAGAGTTCATCTCACAAGCAGCCCATGGGGCAACCAACTGCTACTGCTGTGTGTGGGAGTTCGTAGTTGTCGTGTGGAGCAAACGTGGCATCGTCGCTGTCTCTGTTGACGGCCTTGATTGAAAAATTGAGAGGGCGTTATTGACGCTCCCCACAAGGAGGCACTTCTATTCAACCAACACCTCCATCACTGCGATGCAGAAAGACCCTAGAAATGCATCGGTCGGCAATAGCATTCTGCCTCCCCGGTGATCCCTGCCTGTCGTGCGTACCAACAGACGGGGCGCGCTGCCCAGTCAGCACACCTTTTGCCTGGCTGTGCTCCTCATCACCCCGCGCCACTGGGCACAAGCGAGAATCGGGACGACGCCAACACCCACGCCAACATACTCTACTCCTCTCGCAGGCGGCGCCGTTACCAAAGCTCGCGAGTCTGTCGGCATACGACCGGCATACGACCGGCGTACGACTCTAGGTTATGCACCTCCCGATCACCAGTTGCATGGTCAAGGGCACTCTCCGACACCTCTGATCTCTGCTCCGAGCAAAACCAACCAAAAGCCCCCACCTCCTGCGCCAAAATAAAATAAGATAAAAGGGCAGGCGAGGAGTCCCACCTTCCTGGGCTTTTCGTCCTCGTCGTCGAGCAAAAATTGCGTCTCTTCGTCGTCCATGGGCGGCTAAGATCCCTCTCTCCCTCCTCTACCTCTCTCGCTCTCTCTCTCTCGCCTCTGCCGGCAGCCTGTGCGTGGCATTCGCTAGTGCGTCGAGGGGGCACCGCAGATCGGAATTTGGTGACGGGGTATGTACATGGAACGGCAGACCCGACCGAGCTGCCATGGACACAACAGCAAAACCCACCCACAGCCCCTAGCTGCAAAGGAGAGACATACCCGCGGGCGAGAGACTGGGTAACCTGTGCTGTGTGTGTGTCAAGAGGAAGAAACACGACCAATGTGAGAGAGGTGTGTTTAAGATCTGCAGAACAATCGATCGAAAGCTATGAATGACAGAGATGACCGACGAGCAGAGGTAGACAGCAGGCACTCAGCATCGGGTTCAACGCCAACATCCGTTCCTGATAGCAGCAGCAACAGCAGTGAGCCGACAGAACCCATCAACAGCAGCACTAGCGGAGAACCGGAGGTCTCAGCTGCATCAGATGCGACAGGAACAGGAACAGATGCAGAAACAAGTACCGCTGTAGAAGTGGAGATCTGTCCGACATGTCATCAAGAGGTGCCGAAGAACAACGACACATCGGCATCAGCAGCGGCGATGGCGCCAGCGGTAGCAACAGCGGCAGCAGCAGCATCCCCAGGTGCTCCCAACAAACGAAAATCGGACCACACGGCGGACGAATGCGAGCCGCGAGCGCCCAAAAGACGGGCATGCGTGGACAGGAGCAAACCCCGAGCGCGCCTTACTCTAGGACAGAAGCTGGAGATCCTGGACCTCCTCGATCAGAAGAAGATGAGCAGGGTGGAGATTGCCGCCATCTACAAGTGCTCGGACCGGACGGTGTCGAGTTGCTCCGTTAACCGTACCATCCTTGAAGCCGAAGCCGCGTCGTCTACTCGCAAATTGAAGTCCAAAGGGAGGCGCTCTGCAGGCTTCCCCGAGGTGTGTAACATGTCATGTACCTCTGGTAACATTTAGATTTTTTGTAGCCTCCAGAGTCGACTGCTGTGACAAAACTGCTGCAGCGGTTGAAACGGCTAGCGATGGATGAGACTGAAATGAGGTTTCAGACTTCCCATGTATTGCATTGTTGGATACGAACAATTTTTCGTTACCCGTGTTGTTTTCCAGCGCGCCTGTACAATGCCGGACGAACGAATTGCGGAATAGGCAGCGATCGCTGAACGCTAACAGCACACCCGTTCGGCACATTTGTGGCGAAATCCACACGGCGTTGTACAGTAGTTGGTCCCCTTCACCGCGTTTTTTTCCCTTGCCGTTCACTGGAGGACGTGGCTGGCTCAACAGATGGTATCACTAAGGTGGCTAGAAAGTTGACTCTCTTTTATGTACCGACTTACATCCCCACGACGTTTTGCAGGTGGACAGACGAGTCCTGTCCCTCATCAAGGCTTTCGGAAGCAGTCAGATCCCTGTAGGCCGAACCACGATCGCGTCCTTTGGGCATGCCGTCAAGGCTAGCTTGTTAGCCGCAGACGCTACGCCAGCGGAGGACAAGAAAAAGCTTGAGAAGTTCGGCGCCAGCGAGAAATGGGTGAAGAACTTGGTGTCGCGCAATGGGCTCGTCAGCAGACCACTGCTGCTCGCAGACGGCAGCGTGATTGACTCCGGGCGCGTTCAAGCAAGAATGAAAGAAGTTCAGAAGGAGTACAAGCAGTACGACCTAGCGAACGTCAGCTTCTACGATGGAGGAGTAGTGCCGAAGCGCTCGTATCTGTCCCGTTCAGAGGCTGAAAACTTGGAGTTGGTGGAAGACAACGAAGACAACAACAATTTGGATACCTGACCAGCGGAACCGTGTTGCGCGGCTGGGTGACCAAGCGGGTTGTTGGTGGTGTGGTGATACAGAGTACAGAATGATGGTGACCGCGTTGGTTTTTCCCAAACGCGAGGATTGGTCGGCGCGACTGCTGTGCCGCACGATAGTGTATATATGGAATATTTCGTCTGTTCATGGTCAATTGCGTGTGCCCTGATGCGGAGCTTGGCTTGATGGTGTTTGACACTTAAGTTGCACTCAGGCTTGCAACGCAACTTGCGGGGTGTGTGGATAATATTATTCGAGTGTATGGCGTTAGAGTGGAACATAGAGCTTTCCTCGCCTGGCCGAGATACAACAGAGCGCTGGCGACCTGGTGTTGCACATCATTTATTCCCAGTGTGCGGAGGAGTGAGCGTGTTATAGAGCTGAGCGTACGAACTGGAGCTTGTTTGGTACAGTGGAATTAAGTGGTAGGGACAATGTTTACCCCTGTGCAGGGTGATGTAGTGCGGTCACAGCAGTTGACTTCAACAATTTCAACGCTCACTTTGGTCAGCGCAGCGTCTAGGGTGGGCCTGTCGTGGGGTACATCTCAAGAATATGCTAACCACCAAGTCTCACAACAGCAGTAGGTTGACTTTCGGGGAATCGGCCGAGCCCATTGCGCGGACAATGGCATTGCGCGAGTCCAGCTTTGTTCGGCAATGGGGTTTCAGATGTTTACATGTTTTTAATGTAAAGACAACAACAAAAATAACAATATGTAGTACGCATTTTCAACGTTGGACAGAAACGAGATGCGGTTCACCTCCGTACGCACGTCTTTGTCTCTCAAAGCTCGTGCACGAGTTACCGAAGACCACGCTGGTACGTTTTCTTCACACACGAGGGCACCCTACCAAACCGCCATCCTTCAAGTTTCGAGCATGCTTCAACAAGCCTTTTACGATCGACTGCGCTATTTGTCCTCGGCAAGAATAACGTTTGAGCACGCGCCCCTTCTTCCTCCACCGCGTGTTTGGCTGCAAAACTCTCGCAAGCGTCAAAAGATGGCAAATGGTTTCCGGATAGGCGCCCCGGCGCCTGCCGTGTCGAAGCGAGCGAACCAAGTCGTGTCACTTGCTGGTGCAACGACCCCGCGCGCGAAGGCCATCGCTCTCTTCGTGTTTGTCAGGGACTCTATCAAGTTTGGGTTTACCAGCCGCTTCGACGCGGCGTCTCCCGAGGAAACCCTAGAGGCCGGTATGGGCCACTGCAACCCCCAGGGGGCACTGTTCGCATCACTGTTGCAGGCCCAGGGTATCCCCGCTAGGCAACGGTTCGTCAACCTTAGCAACGGGGTGCTGCGCGGCGTCCTGTCGCCGCCCCCTGCTCGGCTTCTTCACAGCTATGTTGAAGTCCAACTTGATGGGCGAGTTGATGGCGGCCCGCCAGACTGCAGCGAACTCGGACAGGACAGTCTGGGCTGGATTCGAGTGGATGGTTACATCGCAGACCCGGCGCTGTTCCACGCCGCCCGGGCCAGGCTAGTGAAGGAGAATATGACGGAGGGGTATGGGGTACACGTTAACGGGGTAAACGAATGGGATGGTGCCTCGGACAGTTTTTGCCAGATGGCGGAGGAAACCACGCAGGTCACGGAGACCTTCGAGGCCTTTGATGAGCCTGGGCTATTCTACAGTTCACCGGAGAATTTCCAACGCTTGCCGTGGCCAGTCCGCCTCGTTTTTGGGTGGATCGTGAAAGGACCAAACTCGTCGATCGACGCCATTCGGGCGGAGTTTGCACCCCCGTCTGTAGAGAAGTAAACGAGTTTTGTTGGTTAGTGGAACTCCCCCCCCCCCGGTGTAGCTATCGATGCAGCCAAGACCTGGGTGTCATGTATTGTCTTTCATTGGACTGTTGCGACGGTTTCAAAAGGTAGATCGCTCGAGGAGTGATCACACATACGGACATGAAGCGTTGAGTCGCATGTTGTGAGCGGGAAGTTCATCATGGGTATAGGCGTGTTGATCCGAGAGGTAGTTGCTCAGCTCCGTCGCTCTTGCGTGTGGGCCAATACTGTATTGCGCGTTCTGGTCTGGGTAACGTAAATGGTGTCGTGTTCAATCATCGAATAAAAAAACGTTTCACCACTGGCCGTTAAATTGCTTGGGTACAGGCTGTGCGTGTCGCGGTCTTGCTCCTCCCTCATGGGTTGAGTTTCACGCCCTTTCACCATCTTCCCCATCACTTCATATGCCAGTTGTAGGGCGGGTGCTGTCCGGTAGATACAGTACATGTTTCGCTCTACGAGTGCACGTCTTGGCAGTCAGTTTTGTATCCCCAACCAACTTGCAGCCACGTCATCGCGGGGGTGTCTCCCCGCCGTGCAGACAGCTCAAGCAGCCCGCGCGAAGCACCATCGGGGAAGGCACATATCTAAAAAAGGTCCGATTTCTCCTTCACGAAAGCATCCAGACATGGCCGGTGGTTACCGTGTTGCTTGTGCAAGGCCGTACCTTCTCTTCAAAGCTCGGTCAACTGATCATGAGAAAAATGTGGGTACGCTTTTAGCCTGGTGTCGATGTTGCATCACACATTGAAGTCCTGTTGTGGACCAGCAGATAGGAACGGTAGTACGTGGGCATTGTGGCAGGGAGCCACGCCACACACCCGCGACTTATCGAATTAATGCCGTTGTGTTTTTTCTCTCAAACCTCCCACCGCACGGGCCTCAGTGCACCGAATCGCGTACGTCCTGCTTCATCACTCATTGCTATTTATGTACTTGTTATTTGACTTCATCCTCCTTCTCGCAAAAGGGAGCAACGGGCGTGATGTATTGTTTTCCCCAACCGAAGCACTTGTATGCTCGCCACCTCTTTCACCACGGATAAGTGTTTAGGTTTTTGCGTTTGGGCGGAGAACCTCCCACCGCCGTTTATCTTGTTCTGAACGTGCGCGGGGGGATTGGGTGGGGTTCCATGCGATACGATTCGGAGACACATCTGTCTGTCTCTCGAGCGGGGAGTAGCGAGGGTGGTGGGGGAAGAGGAGCGGTCTTTCGACAAAGTCAGAGGCTTACGCCTCGGCTACAAGGATGGAACAGCATTGGCGCGATTGTGTTCTAGCGCTTGCAGCAAAGTATTCAACAAGCAGTGAGGGATAGAATTCCATCAGCATCGCTCCGCACCTACAGTTCCAGGAGCCAATCCGATGTATTTTGTTTGAATTGCGTTAACCGTAGCCATCGTACAACACGGTGTCGAGCGTCAGGCCGTGCGCCGGCGCGGCATATATCAGACGAGAATCTCTGACGCGTGTTGCAAAAATCTCATCTATAACCTCAGGCTCCAACCGACCAGCAGCCACGGCCAACAAAGCCCCGACCATATTCCTAACCATGCGATACAAAGCCCCGTCCAAGTGGAAGTCCAGTCGGATGTTACCACCCCCCTCGTCGATGATCTCCGCCGAGTACACGGTTCTCACGGTGTTGAATTCCCCAAGCCCGTCCTCCTTTTTGAGAGTCGCCCTCTTGGTAACCTCGTTAGAGAACCCGGCGAAGTCATGCTTCCCCACGAGCTTGGGTATAGTTTGGTAAAGAAGGTCGACGTTGATGGGTGACCCCGCGGCTTGGCTAGCATGCGCCCTGTATAGTCGATCGAGAGGGCTCATTACGGGGCCCACGAACAGCCGGTAGCTGTAGCGCTTGCCGCGAGCGTTGAGCATGGAGGACCAGGGCCAGCCTTTCTCCACTTGCCAGGGAGAGCTTGGCGGGGCCACCGACATATTCCACACGCGAACGTCCTGGCAGAGAGATGACGCATGGTCCGACAGTTTGGCGGGTATGGGTGTGAGAGCTGTTGGCAAGATACACGGTAAGGAGGGAACGGAGCACGCTGCAAACTTTCCATTTTCTCCTCCGTGACGCCATAGTCTTGTACCATGGAGGACGTTTTCGTGCCTACAGTAGTTTGGTTAGTACACCTACCGTAGAGGCGGACAGATGGCACCCCCCTTCCTTCGACCGATTTTGAAAGCTCGATCGCTCTGCGACCAAGTGTGTGCGGGAATAGCCTGATACGTCTACGGAAAATCCCCCAACGAGATGTTTCCGAAATCACCATTTTCGGTGTTGGCATATGCTTGGTTGTGGAGCAGTCGAGCTTTGAAAATCGGTCTAAGGTGGGCTGCCATCTCTCCGCCTCTAACGGTGTTTGAGGAGGCGGGAGCGGTCCACAATCCTCAGGGTACAGGTCTCTTGACGATCGATGGCTGGCTATGATTCAATTCACCTCTGGCATCATCTGGTTCATGGAGTACGCGAGCTGCGAGAGGTCTTCGTTGGCGTTGGGCAGGTCGAAATGCACCGCTTGGCCAACCGAGTGCACGCCGGTGTCCGTCCGTCCTGCGGCAACAACCGGCACGTACGTCTGAAACCGCGTCGACAGCGCCTTTTCGAGTACTCCCTGTTCGCGAAGGAAGGGAGAATGAAAAGGTACTTTCAAGTACGGCAGGGAACATGGGTGCGTACACAAGTGAAACTTTGGCCACGCACTGCTCTGTCGTTTGCTTCATGTATTCTACGAAAAGCCAGTGTAGTTTACATCACAGCAGTCCGAGCACCGCAAAAGACAGGCTGGCTCCGGATGTGGGATACTGCGAAGAAGAAACCTCATGTTCTTCATTGAATGCAACTGCTGCTTCGGTGTTAAATGTAACATAGGCGGTGGGGTCAAGCGTTAAACAGATTGCCGCCATATTATCACTGCTCAATCAGAGTCAGACACGTGCGTCTGTTGCTTTCATCACACTGCTGTAGCTGGAGGAACGGTCTTGCGGTAATCGGCATCCATCCGTACCTGTACGGTCGGTAGGCCGTGGCCTTGCAATTGAAAGCCTTTGTAGTTCGTTCCGTCGTACATGACTCGCGATACAAACCGCGTCTTTTTGCCCTCCAACAGCTCTCGAAACACTCGGTACTCCCCCTCCTCGTCGAAACGGGCCTCTCTTCTGGCCTTTGCCTGTTGGCTTTCGTTGTTGGTGGTACTGCGTGGTGGCGTGGATCTGGGTAAGTCTTCTTCCACCCCGCCATGCGGCGCAATAGTCGATGGTGTACACACGCGCAACACACGAGTAGCACTGGAAGGGTCGACGGCAAGGTGTGAAATGAATCCAGCGCTGGGCCCTACTATGCTTCCATTTGGCCAACGCTGATGTCTCGGCCGAGCGCGACACAACACCGGCATGGCAACATGTGAGGGCAGCGGAGGAGCCGGCACAGCCGTAGCAGTTGCGAGACCCACCGCTCCTCGGAGCAAGGTGAAGCCGCCGCTCACCACTGCTGCAAGCATCCACTACCTGAGCCTATGGTCTTGATGGCAGGTTTATGAGTAGAGAGGTATGCAGAGCGTAAAGCCAGCTAGTTGTAGCGTGCGTTTGAAACAGCACCAGCAGATGAGCAGATGATGATCCTGTGGTAGGTGTCCACATGCGTGTGCTGCATCAACCATGCTTGCTCCCGCCACATTGCTCATCTGCGGAGCCCCGTTTCTCTCGCGAAAATAAAAAAGCTTCTGCCTTGGTTGCTGCTGCCAACGCTCCCACATCCGCTGCTGCCAGATCCTGCGGCATGTCCATGCCTCCCACTGCTTCTCTCAGCGCGCTGACCACGGATGAATCGTCTCAACCTGTGCTCGGATCAGTAGGCGTGGGCGGAGAAGTGGAGGAGGAGGAGGAGGACGTGTACTACGACCAACCGCCGCCTGGCCCATCGCTGGGAGAGAGGCACCAGGCGCACGATTCACGTCGTCCGCTTACGGCAGAGCAGAAGGCCGAGGCTGCGAGATGCTTGCGATCGTCGACCCTGTTCAAGTTTTGCTCGGACGAGAGCATCGCCAAGGTCATCGAGAACATGACACGCGAGCCGTTCTCGGAGGGCGAGGTGGGTTTCTGTGGTGTTGCTGCACGTATCCAACTACATCTATCTCCGATGAATCAAAGGTCGCAGCAGCAGTTGTGACGATAGCGAAATTGACTGGAAAATTGATTGCCTCCACATCGATCCATACAAAATTTGAAAGCAGCTGCCGCACCGCTAGCCCTCGTTGGAAATTTTTGTCGCTCTGCCTTGGAGCACGAAACGCTTTCAAGATGCTCATACGCTGTGGACCGACTTGTCAGACCTATTACCGTGGGCTTTGATATACTCTTGATGGGTGGGGGGGGGCGCTAGTGAAACATGCGTGTGCAACGTCAGAGCTACCAAGCCATGACCTGGAAAGAACGAATATGTTCAACATGCTGTTCCTTTGGTTAGTTAGCCTTGGGGAGCTAAAGCTGCAAGCTCCCGTCGGGGATTCAAAAATGATCTGGTCGTCACTGAAGCTGGGCAGTACTGCTTCGCTTGTTAACTTGTCGACAGCAGCAGAGTGGCGGTGACCGCGCCCGTGTCGCGACGTAGACACTCTACGCTGGGCAATCCCTCCTGCACCGAACCTCTCCCCAAGTGCAACGATCGTCTCTCACAACTGCTGCCCAATCGTCGCAGAAAGAGCGTGTTGCCTACCATTTTGTAGCCGCTGGACCACACACCACTTTTCTGCAGCATGTGTGCACGAAGCCGATGGGTGCTGATTTTGTGTCCCGCATGGGCACCCGCCATGTACGCCGCTGTGTTGAAATGAAGCAAACACATGTCTCCAACGCAAACACACATCAGGCTGGCACGCGCACACAAGCCTGATTCAATTCCCCAAACTTGCTGCCTGCGTTGCAATTTCGGATGCCGGCGGCGTCGCTTCACGTGACGTGTGTGGTGTTTCTTTGGATGTTTCGAAGGTGCTTCTGGAGCAAGGTGACCCGCAGACCAGAGTGTTTCTCATCACCCAAGGCTCCGTGTCCCGCCTGCGCTACCTCAACGAGCAGCTGCACCAGGTCGAGACTGTCGGTGGGGAGAACCACAGGTGAGTTGCTTTGTCGAGCCGTTGCGAAAGGAAAGAGAAAAGTTCCGTTGTCCATTCAGCAAACGAAAAGATACTCGTATTTTGAACTATAATACTACTGTCGAATGTGTGCGGCAGCTGTCATGAAGGTGCTCATGATGCTGGTTGTGTTACGGGCGCACCCCCCGCTTTTTTACCGTTTGCGGCGGCAATATAGAAAGACTCTGGATGCCTGCCCATCTACATTTTTCCCCGCAACTCGTGTCGAGCATGTAGCACCTCCCGTCGAATCGAAGATTCAATTTTGTCTCTGAAAAGCGGGTACGATCCTACATGTACTGCTGGATGTATACTAGAATGAACAGATGTTAGATAGCCTGTCTTTGCCAATCTACATAGCCCCCTGTGGTCTCGTTGGTATCTTCGAAACCTTCTAGAGGTCAGGTCAGGGGATCGAATCCCGGCGTAAGCGAGCTCTTCTTTCAAAGTGAGTTTTTCTCTCGCTTCCGCTCCTGGCTTAATGGATAGCGCTAGTTCGTGTGTACATAGTGGGAAGAGAGTGCTGAACTCTTCTCGCATTAAGTCGAAGGCAAAGTACCGCAGGAGGGGAGGGGAGTATACGCCACTAGTGCTGTCAGTGCTGATTTCAAGTGCAGACAAAAAAAAAAAAAAAACAGTACGAACACAACCATTGTTCGCCGCTAGGCGTTAACTTGCAACTTGCAACTCGTATGGAGCATGGAGCACCTCCCGTCGAATCGAAGACTCGAGTTCAAATCTGAAAAGCGGTTACCAAACACCTTTTGTGATGTACCGGTTATGCATGTGCATCGATGTGGGCCCCGGCGGCCCTGCAGTGAATACTGCTGGTCTCGGGCATGCATACAAGTACGGAGTTACGTATGTGTATGCATACAAGTGCCGTCCAACGATTGACGAACAGAAAATGCCATGTAATCCACCATCGACTTGCTACGTGGTGTTTCTTATAATCATTCAGCTAAATAGAAGTGTCGTGGGTCGTGTATTGTAGAGGCGGCTATACAAGCCAGGCCGGCCCGGCCAATAGCCCGATACTGGGCACCCGCCCTACTTGATATGTTTTCGGTTGTCGGGTCATAAGGTATGAATCTGCGTATCACACGTAAGATAGAAGTTGGTCGCTATTGGAAAGCTGGAACAGCTGTTGCGTTGGTCCAGCTCATCTGTCATTTTTTTTGTTTTTAATTAAGGAATAATAAGAACACACACAGAAAGACTACCCATTCGAGATATACCCACAGTCGAACGGGATGTGGTGGAGTCTGTTCTTCAAGGACACAGCGAGATCGTCTCTATCCGCGAATACGGTTAGTATGCATAACATGACCAATGACCTACTCCTGTTTTGTACTTGTAGGCCTGCGTTTCAGGACACCGATGGTTGAAATACAACGACAGTGGTTGATGGTTGCACTGACCGAGAACGACGTGGCTACGACGGGACTCCGGAAACGCAAAAGCAGTAGCATAGCTACGAACAAGAGACAGGAAGACGACACAACACATAGTCACATGATGAAAATACAACACATGAAGGAGGAAGCTTGCCAGGCGCACAGCGAGCATTTGTCCTGGCACGTGCGGTGCCGGGGATGTATCACACGCTGTTTGGTGTGCTCGCCGCAAGCCTCCTGTCAACACGCTGTGATGACGTTGGTACTTGACTGCTGTCGTTGGACTGCTGCCGCTGCTGGTGCTGCTGCTACTAGTTACTGCTGTTGTTCATGAGCAACCATACGTGCAAGACGTGTTTGGTGCTGCTACTATACTGCTTTCCTGGAGTAACCGTTTGTGCAATACGTGTACGTACGCTTGGCTAGAAAACGGCGATAGAGGAGAGAAAGAGGCCATCTTGCCCAATACCAGCAGTCACTCGACACACCAGCTCCTGCACGAGTTGGTGAACCCTGACGCGGGTATTGGTGGACCTTGGCGTGGGTGCTTCAACAACCCATGGCAGTACTGTTTGACCAATCACGGTCGTCGCCAATGGTCCATGAACGACCAACTGCTCGAAGTCGCACGTGACGATTGGTGACCGCATTGCCCCCGGACTGGTCGTTAAAGCTGAAAACTTCGTGACGGGAACACGCGCTTTTTTCTATCGCGTCGAAAACATTTCACCGGCCATGAACCGTCCACCCGCCTTTTTTTTTTTCTGAATATGACCCAACGACTCTATCTCTATCTATGAAGAGAGTCTAAGATAGAGTAGTAATGAACTCATAGCGTCAGAGAAAGCTACCTGTATTTCCACGGTTTCTCGAGCAGCACACATTGAAACAGCCCACGAGTGCACGTATTTTGAAAGGGCGATACACATAAAAACTGCAACTGACCAGCGGTGTAAGCAGGGCATATTCTCATCTAGCGTGAACTCTTGGCTGTTGGGGTTGGTGGAGAAAGCGTTTGAACACCACACACGCTTCCCCTCGGGAGTGATGTGAATCCGTGTGTTACGAAGCACCTGACTTCTTTCCGGCCCGCGCCGTTCCGCGAAACTATGTAGTTCATGAGTGTATCTTCCTCAAACCCAAAACTAACGAATGCGGTTGGTGAATGTCACCTCAGAGAGTACCTCGTAGATTGTGACGGCGGTGTCGAGCGCGAACCTGGAGGCAACCGCCGTCTCATCGATTTGGCGTTGTCAAAGCACACACACACACAAATAGATATGAAAATCGCCGTAGACGACTCTTACCGTTTCGCCCTCTTGCCGTGGCGCTTCCACAATGTTACAGAGGGATGTTCGGAGCTCTGCACGTGCTGAGGGAGGAACCTACCTATGCTACGGCCCTCACGGAGACCGATGGTGTTGCCTTCACTCTGGTAAGCAAGCGTAGCGAGCCACCACCCTACTCTCCCACTCTCCGTGCACTGCAAGAAATACAAGCTCACGCTATAGCTTGCCGTCGCGCAGGATAGGGCATCATGTGTTGAAGGTGGATCCATTTGCCACTTGTTCGTCTTGAAGCTGTGGTAGGTTCCAGTATCATCGTGCTAAACTACGCAGAGCTAGCTTGGCCAGCAGTGTTGGTCGGAGGCCGCGTTGGGCGTTGAGTGTCCCGTCACCCGTGTACATGACGTCATGAGTATAATGTATTTATTTTTTTTCGTTCGGTCTTTCCTATCATACATAGTGGTTCAACATCGTCGAACAGCGGTGACCTTTTCGAATCAAGTGCATTTGTCATGTTGTGTATATATCACAGCAGGAGGTAGTGTCTTGAAGTGTTTGTTGTATTTGTACCTCACAGGCAGGTAACAGTGTAGTACTCTACACACACTGAAAAGTGTAGTACACGCCTCACCACGAAAAGTTGGGAGACTGTCGCCATAATAAATAGGACGACAACACAAAAGCACACACTGACAACACCACGTCATGACAGGAGTCGGTGGAGCTGAACAAGCTGATTGAGGCGGATCCGTCGATTGCCAAGGAGATGCTGTACTCGCTGTCCAAGGAAGTGTTCCGCATGAGCAAGCTCAGGACGCCCCTCCTGGAACAGGCAAGTCTATTTTTGTACCCCCCCATTTTCCGATGAACACTTTGGTTGTTCATCGTATGTATCAACATTTGCGATGTCGTGAGTTTGATTCCACATGGTGTTGGAGTTTAGGTTCAACAACTGCGTACCAAATCTGTATTGCGTTAAAACATAGTTTAGTTTGGATGAGCTTTTCATGGGCCAGGTACCTCTCGCTTTTTTGTACCGTACCATGGTAGCTAATACCGTCGTCACCACTGCCCATTTCGTTCTGTATGGCCCCGCCGTAACCGACCCCCTGTCTCTCAACACTCAGCCCCTCTAAGGCCACCGCCGTCGAATTGTTGTAATTCATTCTTCCGCAGGACCCCAAGCCCAATTCATTCTTCGGTTCTACCCTCGGAGCGGTCATCGAGAGCTACTACCGCTCTGGCTTCAACTCGTGGCTCAACGCTAAGCTCACCGGCAAGCCGCCGGCCTCCATGTTTCCCATGTTCCATGTGCAAATCCCCACGCGGGTCTTGTACATCAACGGCTTCAAGGCAAGATGAACCGTGTCGTGGATCGCAGGATAACGGGGGGGGGGGGGGGGGAGGCGTCTGCGTATCCCGGAGTAAAGCAGACTGCTGTTGGTGGGTGGGAAGAGAATTGGCTCACTTTGAGCTTGGTTCAGTGCTATGTTCCCACGCCACGCCGGCGTGTTCGAGGAACGAAATTAGCGCGGGTTGGTGACAAAGCTGACCGTGGTACCCGGGGATGTGGTTTTGCTGGGTGAAGGGGGGAACCCGGAAAAAGGCCTTTAGTGGGAAAGAAAAAGTTTTGTCCTGGTGGGTACTTAATGTTGAAAAACACATGCTCCTTTTTTGGAAAGGTGGGTATCCTTGAAACAAA